ACACACACACACACACACACACACACACACACACACACACACGCACACACACACACACACACACAGTGAGATGGATGGAGGAAGTGGTGTGTCTGAGACAACCATCAGAGGGGACACAGAGTGACCAGAGGACAAACTGAAGGCTGTAATCAGTGCGGCCGGCCGCAGACAGGACTCCGGAGGAAGCCTCGTCATGGGAGCGGGCTGCGAGGTGCTTATCAGATCTCAGCTCAACCTGATCCAGTGACCTCCTCACCTCCCCTGCACAGCTTCCCCTCTGTTGCTCATGATTGCTGCTTTGCATGAATCTTTATTTGTTGTTTGTTTCTTGTTTGGAGACAAGCGGCGCACCTGAATGAGCTCAAACCATTCATTCAAAAACATCATGAGCAAACGCACAGATAATGTCAGAAGCATGAACGGGTGTTTTTTTTTAATGTGATCAAATTTATTACAATTTACATTTATTAAACTACACTAATGGGAAGGAAGAAAGGGGATCACACTGAGAAATGAGGAAAGTAGACAGGCTTCATTTTGTTCTTGTCAAGGCTTAATTATACTACCCATTATGTGACCATGTGACCCACTATGTTCTTTGTGTGTCACAGGATCACATAGACACACAATCAGTCGCACACCAACGCACACATAAGGACAATTTAGAACATGTGTCAAACTCAAGGCCAATGGGCCAAATGTGGCCCACCATCAGTGCTGGCTCTAGCCATTTTGGTACCCTAGGCGAGCTGAAGCGCACCCCCCCCCCACCCCCACCCGAACTATGTCCCACTCAGCCCAATTTAAACCCCTAAAAACAAGTTTGACAGTGAAATGTGCTATGGTAAACTTAGATTTATTTGCTTTCTGGGAAAGCAAATAAATAACAACACACATGTCAACTTGTATGGATTGTTCATAAGTTATAAGGATTTTGTGTCAATTTGCAGGTATACAGACGTATAGGGCAATCTCACAGATTTTTTTCAAGTCCTACGGATTTTTTCAAAACCTCATTTTCAAAATTATCTTACATGTCAGAACCTGTAGGATGATTACCAAGAAAAAACAAGAAATAACATTAACTTCAGTATAACTTCATTGTAATACTTCATTATAGTTTTTTAAGACAAAGCTAATTGAGAGGGGCGCTGAGCAGAGTTACAACCAGGGATTACAAATAATTACTTTTTTCTTCTGCAGTTTAGCGCCCCCTCCAGCAGATGGTGATCTAGGCGACCCTCTAGTTCGCCTATGCCAAGAGCCGGCTCTGCCCACCATGGCATTCTATTAAGCAAGCTTCAAACATGTATTAAAGTCTTAAATAAATGTTCTGCTGTAAAACCATGGGCTACAGCTCCAGTGAAGGTAAGCTCTGGAAAGAATCAATCAATCAAACATTATTATGAGGGTGGGGGTGTGTGTGTGTCGGGGTCTTCTTTTATTTATTTATTTCTTTCTTACTCCCCCGTTTCCCGACTGACGTCTGGGGGTGGGGCCCTGGTGGGGGCACGCCGCCGGGTGGGGACCAAGACTGATGGTGGACTGGGAGCTTGGGGGGGTGCAGGGGGTCGGGCTTGCTCTCTGGCTTCTCTGG